TAAAAATATTGACATTATGACTAAATAAGCAAACCGCTTGCTTTTTTAGTTCGTAGCATCTGTGTTATGACTAATCGGCAGTACGACTACATATTCATATAATATTTCGTTGCCGACGAATAATCAGCCGAGGGTTGTTTTTATGTTTGTGTGTTGCCAACGCAGAAATTAGAAAAAAGGCATTTCATTTTGTGTGTTGCTATTTAATTTAAACTTGTCAAATCCATGGCACAATAAATATGGAGTCCATTTAGCGCAGCTGATGTATCGATTAACTGTCAAAGTGCATAATTTCCACTTGAATTCGATGTGCAAAATTTGACAGATGATCGACACAAAAACAAAAATTTTTGTTTTAATACATCACCGTATTATTGCATCATGGTCAAATCATAATCAAAAACTGTCAATAATAGTACTAGAATTACTAAATTATATATTAAATAAAAAACCTTTAGCAAGTATTACTAATTGTCTTTCTTCGATAAAATGAAATTATCATAATCGCGATTTTTAATTCTCTCGCAAGAAAAATGTATACTAACGCATCAATTGAGAACGGCTGGACCGATTTGATTCTTTCATTTGCCGGTAATTACAGTGGGAAGGTTTTTATGAAAGAAAATTTTGAGAATAATCCGCGAAAATCTTGCAAAAATTATTATAAAGAATCGGCTGGACCGATTTGACTTAAATTTTCTGTTAGAAGTCTGTAATTGAAGTGGAAAGATTTTAACGAAAGAACATTTTGAGAAAAATACGCGAAAATTTTGCAAAATATATTTTGAAAGATATTAGCATTTCCAGACATTTTATATAGAACCTTTATGGTTTCATCTCTTCGTAGTTCTTTTTGAACATATTTTGGGAGAAAATGGACAGCGTATATCTTTAAGTAATTATTAATTATGGAAAATTGTCAAAATATGTTAATTTTCTACAATTAATTGGATTGTCATTACCTTGAAAAAACTATTGTATATGAAAATAAATTTACATTTTCATTAGAGTTAAATGTAATAATAAGAAATCGTAAAGAGAGAGTAAGATTAATCGCTATCATTATTTGCTCACATTTTCCATAAGATCAAGATCTATTTAGTTTGAAAATACAAGTTCTGTTATGTGATGAAATTTGCATGGTATATATAGGTTGTAAAATTTTTCTCAAATAAAATACAGTAAGACATTAATGTAAAGATTAGCGAGTCCATTATGTGGAGCCTATACTAAAAACTATCTTACTCTATGGGGAATACCGAATTAAAGGCAATTTAATTAATATTTTGTTACTACTTTCCAAGTACTTTAAAATAAGGATGCTTAAAAGCGTACAATAATGGAATAAATTGTTTTGAACTTATAAATAGAACACATATCCCATGTGATATCTGGGCCACTGACCGAAACTTGATCATGTCTTTATAGGAAACACCATCAGGAATATTTTTGAGAAAATTGCCAATACATACACATATATTTTTATGTTTTAGTAAAAACTAAAACGTCTATCAGAGTATTCAATACAGTTCAATGATGTTAGTAATTCGCTATATACGATTACAAATACGTCAACAAAATACGAAGGTATTATTGAACATTTTCTTATATTCGGGAAGAATACATTTAAATTCGAATCCTACATGGTGGCAATTCCGCATTATATGTTGTTTTTGCCTAACTCATATGTGCCTTTATGGTTCCTTAAATGTATTTTTAAAGATGTGAATAAAGTTTGCATGGTATATTGACTGTACCGTTGGGAAGTTTTTTACGAAGAAAATGTTGAGAAAAACATCAACAAGTCGGGAAAATGGAATAATCGAACGTTGTGTTAGTTATATTGTTTATAACTCAAGAACTCTACACCGATTTTAACGATTCAAAGGACTTATAAATCGTATGTGGTCAGAATAAGAAAATATAAAAACTAATTGTGAGATTCCGCCAAAACAAATATATTAAGTAATATTTACAATATCAAAAAGCTTTATGGGCCGATTATGGAAACCAACCAAACTCCAGTTGCGATTTCAACTGGCAACACCACTGAAATAAAACTTAACATTATGAATATCAACTTTTCTCAGTTGCCGTCGATAATACTGTTTTGACACTTTTGCAACTAGAAATATTGTAAACAAACAAGAAATTGAATAAAAAATTTCATTTTTAATCATTCGCTATCTACAGGATATTTTCCTCTATTCTGGAGATCTGGTAGCAGAAATGTTATTGAAAATTATAGGGGTATTGCAAAATTAAGCGCCATTCCAAAACATTTCGAACTTCTAGAATCACGTAGAATAATTCATTTCGTTTCGCCAATAATTTCACCTTGTCAACATGGTTTCATAAAAGGGAGATCAACTTTAACTAATCTGATGGAATTAACATGTCATGCACACCATGTATTTTCTACAAAGCAACAAATAGATGTAATATACACTGATGTTAGTAAAGCGTTTGATACGGAGTTGCACAAACTTTTATTATTTAAGTTGGACGCCATGGGTTTTCCATTCAAAATTTTGTCCTGGATTTCATCCTACTTGCAAAACCGTACTCAAAGTGTGTCTTATAATGATATTTTCTCTAGAAATATTGATGTTCATTCTGGAGTCCCTCAAGGTAGCCATTTAGGTCCATTATTACTTGTGTTATACCTTAATGATCTTTCATCAGTGATTCAATTTTCTAAAGTGTTGATGTGTGGTGATGATGTAAAACTTTTCAGAAATTTAGACTCACAAAATCAAAGCCTTACTCTACAAAATGATTTGCACTCTCTTAAATACTGGTTCAGTATTAACGGTATGTCACTAAATTTAAAAAAATGTAAAAAATTATGATATAAAATAATCCTACCGATTATTTTATAGGATCTTACAAATTAGACAATGTTGACTCCCTTCTTTACTAGGATTCATAAACGATGGTCTAAAGAGTTTGACGACCCTTATGTGACAAAATGTTTATTTGTTAGTCTAGTTCGGCCTACATTAGAATATGGATGTGTATTGTGGAGCCCGTTTTACAGTTGTTATTCTAAAAAATAGAATCTGTCCAAACACAATTTTTCTTATTTGCTCTTAGAGGTTTGCCTTGGAGTACAGTTAAAGCACTCCCCCCTTATGAAAATCGTTTAAACCTTATTAATTTTCCAACACTAGAACGAAGACGTTTAATGCTAAGATCTATATTTTTAATAAAACTTTTACGCGGTCAAATTGACTCGAAATTGTTAATCGTTGAAATCAAGTTTAATGTACCTCACGTCTTACTCGTAACTATATACCGCTTTATCTTCCTTTAGTGGGATCTAATTATGAGTTATGTAATCCCTTTACATCACTATGTGAAACATATAACAACCTGTATAATCGCATCTCTTTATCTGATCCAATACATGTAATTAAAAATTCTATTCTATATTTAGAACTGTAGAGTGCAAGCAGTTGCCATATGTTTATGTTTGTCATTATTGTTGTGTTTAATTAACTTTAAATTGTATAACCGGCTGATGTTTACTGTAGCCGGGGTTTCCCAACATTACTAACCCTCCATAATCCGGATTATGGGGTGTACGTTCTCCCTACGTTATGGGGTGGAGGCCCCCTCAGTCGGCTGGGGCGGGTAAGAGTGGCGTGGGAACGACCGAAATAAAACAAACTAATTTTAAGTGATGATAAGCTCAGTGGAACTAGTTTTCGATGATAAAAAAATCCATTAGAACTACCATCTGTATTGTGAGTAGATGTTTATGATTAGAGAAATGTTCAATCAACTGCTCATTTTAGCTATAAGGCGTATTTTCGGCTACCAAAAGATGCCGTTGAATACTTATTTGAAGCATTAAACACTGATTTCCGAAAAGTCAGATGGTAACAGCCCCTCTTAAAAGTGTGTGCAGCTCTGGGGTTTTTTGCGGAGGGAAGTTTTCAAAAGTCCCATGGCAATGACTTCAACCTTGGCATAGCTTAACCAACAATGTCGGTGATTTTGACCTAATTTGTCCGGATAATAGAGGAAAAACTATGTAAAATTTGGATCGTTTCCAAATTAACAGAGGAGGAAAAAGGGAACAATAAACATTTTTTTATCCAAAAACAAAGTTCCGGGGTGTTGTCGGATGAATACTATTCATGGGCCAAAAAGATGTTCGCCATTTGTATTTAATTTGGAAAGGCTACATTAGTTTAAACGTTTAGTAGTAATATTAACTATTATGGGAAGCCTACAAAATTCAGTTCTTATTGATAAACACGACTAAACAGCAAGCAAAAATAAATGGTTGCCGAAAAATTATTTTTGAAGCAACTGAAATTGACAACAGTTGCCATCCACAATTCAAATTCGGCAACTGGAAACTAAACTATGGTTACCATCCGTAATCGACCCATTAGTTTTGCTTGCTAAAATTTTTTATAATGTGTTGCTATTTGTTGCAGTTGTGCTTGTCTGTGCATATTTTGAGGATGAATTTAGCAAGCAATGCGGTAATTTTCGGCGTTTTTGCTATTTTGGCGTTAGCATTTTAAATTCTGCTCCAACTAACTTGTTCCCTTAAACCTCTGATATACAAATGTACAAATAAATACATAATAATACATACCCTGTGTCGAGTGTTGCAAGCGTACACTGTGCCGTATTATGCACACTAACTGCTTAATACGACACATGATAAGTAGGATAACAAGAAGTAGATTAATGGTACAGCCCTAATACAATGTTTCTCTCTTGTGATGTCTCTTTTCAGACGGAAAATTAACTCAATTTAATGCAGATGGTTTTTGTTAAAATAACTTTATTGATGTATTAAAGCTTTAATCTGAGTAATAACGTGAATTTTAATTTACACTATTATAGTGTACTGTATGTGAACATAAAAAAATATATATAATAGTGTATTGTAAAATGTCTTAAAATGGTATAAATATAAAATGCAAGTAAATTTACAAATAAAATATTATTTCATGTGCCAATCATAAAAATTCATTTCAAATAAAGCTGATAGGCTTTACGTTAAAACGTTGAGATAGAGCTTCACATGTTTTTAGTTGATTTGGCAAGTACTCAATACCTCCAGCTTCATCCACAGACTTCATGTTCATTGTCTCTTTATCGCCAGCAACAAGCACGGGCTTCTCAGGGTCAGTCTAGAGGAAAGAAAGAGAGAGCGAGAGAAAGAGATTGTCAAACTATTTTTTTCAATACAATCAATAATCTATTTACTCACAGGTGTGCAACTACGTAATCTGGCATTGAAATCACACATTCTGTCTTCAAAGTTGGGTGCAAAGCAATTGGGATCTACGGCGATGAATACCTGTCCAAGATCTGCAGCAGTATTTGCGCCGGTATGAGTCCATTTACGAACTTTTGTGGAATAATTAGCCCCAGCCATTACCCCTGATAAAATATCGACTAAACCACCAAGACCTTAAACACACAAAATATTCATTGGAATTCAAAATAAATGTGTATGCAATTGTTAATCATACCATAGCCTTTATAGCCGGAATTAATTTCTGGGCCGCCTAATGGCATCAAACAACCAGTTTGGAAAGCCAAATCAGCGTCATTGGTCACTCTACCTTCAGGATCTTGAGCCCATCCATCGGGTAATGGAGCTCCTTTACGACGTTGTATTTCGATTTTGCCTACAGCGACAGCCGTTGTAGCCATATCCAATAAGAATTTATCATCCTTGGCAGGTACTCCCAAAGACAATGGATTGGTGCCCAAGGCAGCTTCTTTTGAACGTGTTGGAGCCATCAAAGGTGAAGTATTTGTCATGGACATGCCAACTAATCCCTCTTTCATGGCCCTCATGGGATACCACCCAGCAATACCGTAGTGATTGGAACCTTTAGCACAGACCCAGCCAACACCTACCTGTTTTGCTTTCTTAATAGCCAAATCCATACAAAAGTTGCCTACCACAGCGCCCAATCCGTTGCAACCATCGACCCAGGCAGTAGCGGGAGTTTCTTTCAAAATTTTGGGAACAGCACTGCCATCCGTAGAATTAATGGACAAATCATTTAAATACATTTCCAAACGATTCATGCCATGGCTGAAATGACCGCGATAGTCAGCCGCAACAAGTAGTTCTGCCATTTGTTCAGCATGATCTTGAGGAACATTTACCGCCTTAAAACAGTCGATCATAAAACGCCTGGATTCCTCAACGGAAACTAATTGTTTTTTCTTCCCGCTGGATGACATATTTCTGTAGGTCGTGTGCCAAGTATCTGTAATAAGACCAGATCAGTAAATGCAGTAAGAATATTATTCCCACTCTTATTTTGAGGTAAATTGCGACTCAACTATTAGTTACTACCAATTGGGAAGCTCCCAGCAGACTGAATGAAAATATTTCCTACGTTCTGTACAAAGATTAGTATTCTTAAAACATCTAACCACTTAACTGGAGAGTGAAAGAGAAACCATATCTCAAGTTTTCTGTCGCTCAACAGCCCATGGTCGAGGGATGTGTTCTACCTTTTATATCAATTGAAGAACAATCAGTTGCTGAAAATATTCTCTTTATAATGTTTTCACGCAAAGCTGTTATTGTATGATTTGCTTTTGATATATGGACATATGCAATAAAATTTTTATATGTACGTCTGCGAAACAGTGAATAGTGTGTGCCGAATTTTAGATGCCGCTTAAGTAACTGTTTATATCTCTTTTGATAAAGTGTATAATGACAATTGCCATTGACTACAACTAGTACTCATTCAATACTTTTTTAACCAATAGTAAATAAAATATTGTATTTCCATTAAAGATACATTGAAAACGTGCGATATCACGATACACCCTAATATGAAACATGTTTACTATTTGCGAAAGAAAAACAGGCATGGAATGTATGGAAATTATAAAAAAACTATATTTTCAGAATGATCTTACTTTACGCGACATTTTAAATGCGTATATAAATACATACATATATTTTATGTATAAGTCTTATAATGTCAACGTCAACGCGTGTGTAACAAATAACAAATTAATTTCTACAACATCACACTATATATATATATATAGATAATTAAGCATGATTATACAAATGCTACTTGGATAGTATAATTTGTATTAGTCTGCCCGTACATTTCTGGCGTTTGGTAATGAAGTTCTTGGACAGGAGTGCTCAAAAAACTTTTTAATAGGCTGGATTGAAGCAGTAAATAGGTACATTCGTTTACTGTAACATTTACTGAGAGTAAAAACGAAAAAGAGAGAAATTTGCAAAAGTAAACGAGCAACACCCAGTGAAAATGTTGTATCGATACAGCTTATTACAACAACAAAAAGCTTGGCACGAATCAAAATAAGTAAATTGTATAAGAAAAATGAATAACAAAAGAAAATCTGTTATTTGTATTATTTCTATTTATATTTGCGTTTTCTTTTTCTTACTTAATACTTAATGATACATAAACAAAAAAAATATTACCAAGATACAAGTTGCTGGTAAACAAATTGTTTTGTTTGTTTACAAGTTATGATAAAACAGCTGATGTTACTGGAAAATCTTTACTGGGTAAATTCCGCAGTTAGAATTTGCAAATACTCAGTAATACAACTGTGAAACGTTCTCTATCTTTTGCTTAAACGAACAACATCCAGTAACAATTTGTACAAATTATTGAGTAAACGAACATATCTACTATAAGGAAATAATTAATGTTTATTAGTCTCTTGAATTTAAATGCTATTTTTGACAGTATGCGGAGCAAGAAAAATCTTTACTTTCAAAAATAGTACAGATATTTTGGAACCCAAATTATATTTTTAAATTGTGTTCATTAAATGATTTCCAAGTTCATGTGCATACTTGTTTCAGAATACAAAATAATTCGAAAAGTTTGGAAATGGGGAAACCAGTAAAAATATCAAAATTGGTTTGCAATGCCTCAAAGTCATGCGGCATTTTAATTACAAAAGTGTTTTCATGAAACTTTTTAGCAACATGTTAAAAACTACATAGGAAAATTGTATTCTGTTTAAATTTGACTAGTGTTCATCAATGACGTACATGGACAATTCCGTATAGAAGGTTTAATACGCACATTTTGTTTCTACCCTTTTACGTGGATTTGCTTAATTTTTAGCAGACAAATTTGAATGGGGTTAGAACGAAGAGCGTAAATGTGTTATTACGCAGTAAACGTCTGCATGAAGGTACTCGTACAATGAATGCCCATCAGCATTCATAAAAGTTTATTCGTATTCAGTATGTTGGCAGAGAGTCGTATGTTGTGAATGTTTACACTGTACACTTTACACACAACTCTCAAAGAGAACATGCGTGCGGGGTTTGCCGGATGCTGCTCTATCCATTCAATGATCGGTGTAACCGTAAAAAATCAATCAATTGTGATAGAAAACATATTTAAAAATCGATAATTTCTTTGCATTTCTTCATAAATACTTGCGTTTTCTTCATCCACATTAATGTTTAACGATACAAAATCACTATAGCATTCACAAAACAATCAATTAGAGAACAATTCAGTTGTTTGTTTACAAATCATAACAAAACAGCTTATTAAATATCAGCTGATGGTACAAGGAAATTATTACAGTATACACATTTGGAAAACTTCCGAATTCGACTTTTCCTACCTAATTGTTTAATTTTAAAATTATCCATTTCTGCCGTTTTAGCGTATATGTAAGCTTCCCGCAAAAATGTAATAAGATTATGGGGTTTTACGCTAAATCATAAAATAAGTATATTACAAAGAAACTCTTGCTTAACGGTTTCGTATAATGTGTTCAAAATAATTGGGTTGGAAAACTTCCGAATTCTACTTTTCCTACCTAATTGTTTAATTTTAAAATTATCCATGTCTGCCGTTTTAGCGTATATGTAAGCTTCCCGCAAAAATATAATAAGATTATGGGGTTTTACGCTAAATCACAAAATAATTATATTACAAAGAAACTCTTGCTTAACGGTTTCGTATAATGTGTTCAAAATAATTGGGTTGGAAGCCACATAAAGATAAGAGAACTGGTTAATTCCTTGCCTACAGTCATTATTAAACATATATAGTTTACATATAGACTTCAAAGATAACAACTTCAAAGTTTGTCCAAATTTCCAAAACTTGCTTAGAGTCAGATCAAAATCAGTCAAAAGTAATAAATATACAGACAGAAAAGAAAATGTATGCTTCAACCCACAATATAACATATTCCCATCATGCCGTACAGCATTTATTATAGTATGTGTACTTTTTTGAAAGTTTATTTATGTATGTGTGACACACACAATGCTTGAAGAATATCAAAATAGTTTTCATTTTGAAAATGATACCCTTTCAATTTGGTGAATTTTATTTATTTTTCAAAGTAAAAATTTTTTAGTATACCTATATTAAAATTGTGACGAAATAAAAAATAACGGAATTTACGACTTAAAATGTGATTTTTTGGAACTTACTTACATGGGTTTGTATACCTTAACACTAGATTTACGGAGTAAGCTAATTTAACTCATTTCAAACTATATACATATATTTAAAACTTTAATATTTTAAAAATCATACATTGGTTTTCGAAATATATATATAAAAGTGCATCCCCCATCACAAATTGTCAACATCTCGATTTTTTCTCAATATTTACTTTTTAGTTGCATAGCCCATATAGTTTTAACGAACTCAATGCGACTGGACAATTTAGTAAAAAATAATAAGAAGAAATATTTTTTTTTAACTTTATTGCGCCTCTATATATTTTATATGTAAAAAACCAGTAAGGAAAGTAGTAAAGTCGGGCTGGGCCGACTATATGATACCCTTCACCACTTTGGGTATATTCTACATATGTATCCCAACAGGCGACGCGATTTTGTTATATATCTATATCTGAACCGATTTCAGGGAAAATTGCCAGAGACTAATTTATATTACTTTAGTACGTTGTGTCATTCGGCCTTGCTATGGATCTTTTCACGCAGCTTAGCAACATCATTTTAGACTTAATTCAGTACTTCAGTAGTTTTGGCGGTTTATTTGGGATACCATTTGTATTTTGTTTTTATAAAAAACAACTATCTATTAGTGGGGAATGTATGGCATTGATTGCCGAGGGGTAAGGCAGGGAAGACTATAGTTTCGGATCACGCCACTGATCCTCATAAGTTCCCTTAGTTTTTTGTTGGGATATTCTCCCCAGAAGCTATTGCTTCTATACAAAAAACCTTTCAAACCCAAATGTCTCTTGTAACAAAGCGAAGTACTTAGCTGACCAACGTACCCTATACCAAAATTCGTGCAAATCGAAAGATATATAGGGACTTTGGTGCACCAATTACATAAAATCGGACGAAAATATATATGGGAGCTATATCTAAATCTGAACCGATTTTTACGAAACTTTGCCACATCATTCTAGACTTAATTCAGTACGCTATGCCAAAATTCGTGCAAATGAAAAGATTTCCCGGGACTTTGGTGCACCAATTACCTACAATCGGGCAAAAATATATATGGGAGCTATATCTAAATCTGAACCGATTTTCATGAAACTTAGCACAAATTATTATAGACCCAAATGCCAGTACGCTATGCCCAATTTCGTGCAAATCGAAAGATATATAGGGTCTTTGGTACACCAAATACCTTAAATCGTATGAAAATATATATGGGAGCTATATCTAAATCTGAACCGATTGTCACGAAACTTTGCACACATCATTCTAGACTTAATTCAGTACGCTATACCAAACGATTTCCAGGGACTTTAGTGGACTATTTACCTAAAATCGGGCGAAGCTATATATGGGAGCTATATATATATGTGAGCTATATCTAAATCTGAACCGATATTCACGAAACTTGGCATACATCATTCTAGACCTTATTCATTACGCTGTGCCAAATTTCGTGCAAATCGAAAGATATATAGGGACTTTGGTACACAATTTACCTTAAATCGGACGAAGATATATATGGGAGCTATATCTAAATCTGAACCGATTTTCGCGAAACTTTGCACACATCATTCTAGACTTTATTCATTACGCTGTGCCAAATTTCGTGCAAATCGAAAGATATATAGGGGCTTTGGTACACAATTTACCTTAAATCGGACGAAGATATATATGGGAGCTATATCTAAATCTGAACCGATTTTTATGAAATTTTACACACATCATTCTAGACCTAATTCATTACGCTGTGCCAATTTTCGTGCAAATCGAAAGATATATAGGG